TTTGTGGGTTCAGCTAAACTTCAGCACCACTGCCCAACTTTTGTTTATGTAACACAGAGCCTTGAAGAGTACATGGGTGAAAAACTATTTAATTTAGCCAACATAACTAATTTTCTTGTGCAGGAAACTTAGTGTTGTGCATAAGAAACAACACCAAAACACTGCTATCTAACATTATATGGCGCATGCCAGATAATCCTATATTTGTAGTCTACCAAATGTCTTTAAACACAGAGTATTTTACAGCAGTGGTATTCAAAGTTTTTAGCTTCTGACCCACCAAATAACTATTGCAGAAACTTGTGACTCAAGATATTCTTGGTTTGCAAACTTAGCCAAAAACACTTAGACATAACAATGTATACAAACCTAAGAACTATGATTCTACTTTTACTCATCTATATTCTTAAAAAAATTGGGAATACATATAATCAAAATATTCCATTAGCAATTCATTAGAATTTATTTCATGACCCATAGGAGATCCCGATGCCAACTTTAGGTACCACTGCTTTGGAGAACGACGTCACAAAATATTTCTCCCAATGTCATTCAAAAACTTAGTGAAGAAAAGATAAAATGGTGTAAATGCAGTAAAAATATTCCAGAACGTAATTTGAGATCCAAATATAATTTTAACAAATTTGTTATTTCACAAAACAGACAAGTTTTACTGGATATTAACTTGATGCAGAGCAGAAACTCGAGCACACCAGATAGTTTCTCCTGCACCAGAGRTACGTATTTCACATACTCTTGGTTTCATCTGAGTTCCCCTTCAGGGGCTGCRAATGGCACTCACCGGCCTCCGTAGCCCTTTCCAAGGGCACTTTATGCTGATTTCTGCTGGGAAACTGYGCCAAAAGTGGAGTGATGACGCCACCTGGTGGACACCATGAGCAACGTCAAGCGCAGTTCTCACTGGCACAAAAATCGTCACACTTACGTCAGTGTTACTAATACGAAATGACAAGCCGCACAATTCAACTGTAAAATAAAAATATATATATATTTATGTAGCGACAAAGAGAAAATAAATATAATTTTGCCTCGTTTAGGCTACTTAAAATATACACAATCAAGGAGCTAATTTGTGACTTTTTTAGTCATCAGCTGTTATTCTAAGAAGATTAAAAGTGATTTTAAACAGGGTTTTCCTGTGTGTGCGTGCGCATGTGTGTGTGTTCCGTTATTTTTCCGGGTTGAGCTCGTGCTGTGGGGGCGGGCGGTGGTTGTCGCGCTGCAGCTGCCAGCTGACACTTCCACCGAGGAGGTGAGGTCAAACCGTGTGCTTCTCTGCCCGACGCAGACGGTGACAGAGGCAGCTAACTAGCCCAGCAGCATCCTCCTCATCCTCATTATCATTATCATCATCATGGCGGACCAACAAGGCGAACCTCCGGCTCCAGTCAACCAGCCGCCGCCGCAGCCGCAGCAGCAGCCGCCCGCGGTGCCGACCAGCTGGCCAATTACCCGGGAGTCATACGAGCTACAGGAAGTCATAGGTTTGTACCCGGAGATGTGTGTTGGGACGGGGGGGACTTATCATAGAAGAGGCTGTAAGGGAAGCCGAGGGCCTACCGGCTTTTTTTTTTTTTCTAACCCCCCCTGTCGATGCTTTGCAATGCGGATGTTAGGAGAACGAGCAGATCAGTTCAGACAAGGCAGAATCAGTGTTTCTGCTCCGGGGGTGGAAATGTCACATTCAGGGGGCTCAGATCCTACACGTCCAACCATACAAGTTGTTCTGTTCATCACAGACTTAGAGGACACGTTAAACCAAATCTTGTCAGCCGGGTTGTATTAGAAATGTACTTTTCACCAAAACAAGGAACTAGAATTAATTATAATAATCAGACAATAGCAGAATGTAAAATTAATAAATTTAGCTTCAACCTCTCACGTTAATATTTTATAGATTGCAAATGACGAGTGCTTTTGTGTTTTAACTGTTTTTATTATTACAAAAATGTATTGTTATAGTTTTAAAATTTGTTTAAAGGCTATGTGTTTATCTGACTTTGTATTAAAGTTACTCATTGTAGGCCCTAAACTATAAAATCAAGTGTAAGTTTGTCCTAACTGTAAAAAAAGCACATTCATTTGCATATTTTACTCAACAAATCTGGATGCATAAATGTGTGCCAAAACATCAAAATTGTCTGCTGTATTAGATCTTTGACCATTCAATGGTTTTGCAATGAGTAGCATACCTTTATTCAAAATCTCATGTAGTTTTAGACTCTTACAACTGCAAATAATAAAAAAGCAGAAACTGATTGGTAAAATATAATTTTGATACATAAAGCAAGTGATAAAACCTCATCAGTATTCCACAAATTCTACTACTAAAGACTCAAAAAATTTTCTTGTCCAAGTGTGACTGTTATATTTTTACTTTTGTCTAATCTTTTTCAGGCATAAATGTTTGTTGAACTCTGTATGATATTTTTTATAATGTTGTGTACCTTGTGTCAGTCATAGACCTATATATATATAT